CGCACTGTCACTCAATGACTATCTGACTGTCAGCTGTCACAAACATGAATATAGTTGATCTTTACATTTATGTGTTTGACTTTTGCAGATTTTATTATTAACAGATTTTATTAAGATGCCCTCTCTAGGAATCTCTAGAGCCCCTTCTAAACTGCCATATAAAATCCAGATTATCTGCTGTGAACTGGATTACATGGTAGTGCAGGCCCATATAATCCAGTTCAAATCATATAATGTGGATTATCTGCTGGATTATATGGCAGTGTAGTAGGAGCCAAGATCAGGGGTCCCACAGGCCAGATGCAGCCCTCCAGGATAATCTACCTGTCCCCCATCCTAAACATTAGACTTAGGGTTGCATTAAGTCTGAAATGACTTGAAGACACACAACAACAACAACAACAACAACAACAACAATCCTAATTAACTTGACTTTTTCATCAGTCAAAGGCACACTTCCCATTTAAATACTGGTAAGTTTATGTTGGTTAAAATTGTTCTTCATTTTAAATATTGTATTGTTCTTTTATGGGTTTCTATACTACAAATAAGATATGTGCAGTGTGCATAGGAATTTGCTCATGTTTCTTTCGAACTATAGTCCGGCCTCTCAACAGCCTGAACCAATCCTCTGTTTAAAAAGTTTGAGGATTTTTTACTCTAGATCCTCCATCTGACCATAGAGTCATGCCAGAGGACCTAAAGACTCCTAGAGAGACCACTTCTCAAGGCATTTGTGGGTCCTCCAGCCAGCCAACATCTGGCAGAGATGTGCTCTTGTACAACAAAATTAAACGCCTTCCCCGGCATACACTACAAAACAACACACCCATCCCTCCACACCCCAACCACCACCACATAGCCCCCAATGCCACATCAATGCCAAATCATGGAATTAAACATAGCCACAGCTCTTAGATAAAAGCTGTCTCTCAGTCTGTTTGTCCTTGCCTTTGTCACCCTGTACCATCTGCCATATGGCAATAATTCAAAAAAGAATATGCCAGGCGAGATGGGTCCTTAAGAATGTTCTGAGCTTCCTTAAGGATGTGGGACTTATAAAGTTCTTCCAAAGAGGGGAGGGGGCAACCAATGACTCTATGTGCAGAACTGGTGGCCCTTTGGAGTGCCTTCTTATTTGCCACTGTGCAGTTACCAAACCATGCACAGATGCAGTAGGTTAGGACACTCTCTATAGCATAGCGGTTGAAAGTTACCAGCTTACCTGTCCGAACGGATCTCCCTCTATGAACCACCTCAGAGATTAAGATCATCCGGGGAGGCCCAACTCTCGGTTCCACCTTCCTCGCAACTGCGATTGGTGGAGACGAGAGACAGGGCCTTCTCAGTGGTGGCTCCTCAGCTAAGGAACTCCCTCCCCAACTAAATTAGATCAGCGCCCTCCCTCCTGACCTTCAGAAGAAAAGTAAAAACTTGGCAATGGGACAGGCCCGTAGCTAGGATTTTGATTCGGGGGGTGCAGAATTTGATTCGGGGGAGGGCTGAGGATCTACCCTAGCAAACCTTTTGTATCATTATCCCAATACCCCCATGGATATGGGTTATATTGAGCATGGTGATCAGATCATGATATGAATAAACATAATGTACCAGTAAGGCCTTTTTGCGGACCAACATGAGAATTGGGGGGGGGGGCTGAAGCCCCTCAAGCCCCCCCTCCTCGGTCACATGCCTGCTATGGGACCAAACCTTTGGGCAGAAGAAGTACAAGGAATGATCGGGGATTATGTGCAATAGATATGATATGTGGAACGGCCTGGACAACCATTGTTGGATTGTGTGATTTTAATGTTTATATTGATATGTTTTAATTCCATGTTTTAATGTTAAATGATGTCTTGTTTTATGATTTAATTGATAATTGTATGTTATTATTATTATGTTAGGTTTCTGTATGTGAGGAATTAAATTTTGCCATAATTATGTTGGAAACCGCTTTGAGCCCCCCGCTGGTACAAGTGCAAGTGAAGTACTGTCTATACTCGAGTATAAGCCTAGTATTTCAACCCTTTTTTTAGGCTGAAAAAGTCCCCCTCAGCTTATACTTGAGTCAAGGTTATTTGTTATTTTCCTCTGTTATTATTTTTATTACATTTATAATTTTACTCTATTATTATTATTATTATTATTATTATTATTATTATTATTACATTTATAATTTTACTCTATTTATTATTGTTATAACATTTATTATTTTACAATATTATTACTAGTATTATATTATTATTATTATTATTATTACATTTATAATTTTACTCTATTAATTATTGTTAGTACATGTATTATTTTATGATATTATTACTGGTATTATTACATTACCATTATTATTTTTATTATATTATTATTATTATTATTATTACATTTATTATTTTACTCTATTATTATGGGAAGGATACGTAAGCACATTTATATTGAAGAAGGTTAGTATAATGGCTTAATCAGAGTTGGGCAGTCTTATCTTAAATTACAGTTTTATGTAAATATTTAATCTACTGATGCCTCAATTAATGTAATTTTATTGGGATCTATTTTTATTTTGAAATTTACAAGTAGRTACTGCATTTCCCATCCTCAGCTTATACTCAAGTCAGTGCATTTTCCCAGTTTTTTGTGGTAAAATTAGGTGCCTCGGCTTATATTTGGGTATATACGATAAATAAATAAATAAATAATTTTTCTGTTCAGTTGTTGGTTCCTTAGATGTCTCAGGTAATACAATCACTACTGGGCCCTCTTAACCAACACTGCCGTATGACTGCCCCAGATCAAAATATCCTTAACAGTGACACCCATGAACTTAAAACTGGCCACCCACTCTACTTGGTCTCCATTTATTACCAAGAGCTGGATTTCTCGACTGTTCTTTCTATACTCCACTATGAGTTCTTTGGTCTTATTGATGTTAAAAACCAGATTGTTGCCCCGGAACCACGAGAGCAGCCAATCCACCTTATCCTGATAGGAAGACACATCCTCAGACTCATGCCCAAGCAGTGGGCATGTCAGAGTCCAACATCCAAAATGTCACATACTTCCCACTCTTGGATTTGCCTTATAATTTGTGTGGCATATTGAGTTTATTCTACTGAGTGGGTCCCTCCCTCCTTTGCTTCCTTGTGGCACCACCGCGAATGATAGGAGATTTAAGACAGATTTCTACCAAGGGTTCATGCCACACGTCAGTTTCCTGTGCAAATTCGTTAAAATGGATCAGAATTGTCTCTCACAACTCTTGAGCTCAAGAGGGTTTCCAACGCATTATGTTCCATGGAAATCGCCGTGAGTGATAGGCCACACTGACCTTCCCACTCAAGACATATTTATTGATTGATTGATTTACCATATTTCTCAACCCGAAGGTGACTCAAAGCAGTTTGCAATCGGCATAATTCAATGCCCTCAACAACATAAAATATAGTTAAAACATTAATACATAGTATAAACCATATAAAAATAATAAAAACAATAAAACACAAGTCCTCAGCGTCTCATTATTAGAATCATTTTCCAGTCGCATTGTCCAATCGTTCAGTAAATCTAAATTAGCCTGTCACACTGCATCTGCGAATGCTTGCTCAAAGAGCCAGGTTTTAACTCTTTTTCAAAATGTTAGGAAGGAGGGGGCCAATCTGATATCCCTAGGGAGGGCGTTCCACAGCCGAGGAGCCACCACTGAGAAGGCTGTCTCTCGTTCCCGCCAGTCACATCTGCAAAGGAGGTGGGACCGAGAGAAGGGCCTTCCCAGACGATCTTAGAGACCTAGATGGTTCATAGAGAGAAATGCGTAATGTGGCCAAGTAAGCCAGGCCACAACTGCATATGGCCTGCAGTGCTGAGATCCACTGCAATTTCACAACCATTTGGACACCATAACGGGCTGGCTACCTAGGATTGTCCTCACGGTGACATAGGAAACTGAGGCACATCCAAAAAAATACACTGTGAAGGAAGCAGCCCAAGAGAAGTAGCAGCATTGGGGCCAAGACAAAACAGAGGGCTCTCTGATCTCTCCAAGCCAAAAAGAGGAAGTTGAACAACCGGAACTGAGAAGGGATGTTGCATTACAACCAGTCAACCGCTCTGCTGTGCAACGCAATGCAAGTGTGTCTCAGTAGGTGAGGTGGCAATGAAGTGCCTACGGAAAGGGCAGTTGGCAGGGAGGCCTGGGCATGTGGGTCGAAAGCGAAGAAGGCAACACCATCAATGATCCAACCCTGGAGACCAAGTGGGGAACCAATCCTGGATTTTGGCCACTCCTCGCCTCCTCAACCACCACCAGTGGCAGCAATAACAAACAATATTCTCCAGTCTGCCAAAACTGGGTCACATTTTATCTAGGTTTCAGGGGCGGCGGAGAAAAAAGAGAGYGTGTCTCAGCAGCCCTGCAATGGAGCCCTGCTTCCTACCATCGACATCCTCAGGCTGGTGTYCGTTCACCTTTCTAGAGGGGAAGAAATAAGGCGCATAGAGGGGAGAAATGTGTGCCTTATAATAGGCGGGTGGGGAGCCAAAGGTGGTGGGCACCAAGGCTGAGGAGTTGTGTGGTTTCTGGGCTGCAGAGCAGCATTTTCTCCTGACCTCACAACCTCTGGCAAAACATCAGGAGATAATGCTTCTGGAACATGGCTATACAGCCTGGAAAACTCACAGCAAGCCATGAAAGCCTTTGACAATCCATCTCTTGAGGTTTCTCCTGCATCTGTGGCTCAGATGGTAGTAAAGCATCTATAGGAAGAAGGCTGACTGGTTGGATGGCTGGCTGACTAAGATCCAGAGGGCTAAGCATGCCTTCAATCTGTCTCTCAACACACCCCTCTGCGCAATGGCTCTCTCTCTCTCTGCAAAAGCAGGACCCCGCCATGCCTCCCTCCTTCCCTTCCTTCCCAAGGTGAAGCCACCACCCCCTTTTATTATGGTCCTGAGGATGATCATTAGGCAACACAATGCGCCCCTTGCTTCACCCGGTCCACACCCCTCACCTTTCGCCTGGGTCTCGTACTCGGCCAGGCTGCCCCGCTCTCGGCGCGCTTTCCCTGCCGTGCTCATCTTGGCTGCGGGAGATGATGCGGGGCAAAGAGGAGGAGGAGGAGGAAGGCGAGGAGGAAGGCGAGGCACCGCCCCCTCCCTCGCGCCTTCTCTGCCTCGCGCCTTCGCTGCCTCGCGCGCCCTCGCTCCTCCACCCGCACGCGCGCGCCCTTCCCCAGAGGGAAGCAGCAGCAATGGTTAACCCCTTGCGCCCTGGCTTTCCCGACCTGCCCGTGCCAGCCTCTCTCTCTCTTTCTCTCTTTGTGTCACTCTACTGCCCAACAGCAGCCACTCGTGCCGCACCGACGCGCCTCACGCCCACCGACGCCGCCTCCTCCTCCTTTCCTTACTCGCTGAGCCGCGCGCGCGCACACATTTTCCAGCTGAGGGTCGCCTCGTGCCCTGAGGAGAAAAGGAAGGGGTGGGGCTTTGCCACCTGAGCGTCAAGCCCAAGCAGGGAATGGGGTGTAAGAAGCCCGGGGAAACCCCCTGCTGGGTCACCTCATGAAACGTGTGTCATGCACAGCAAGGAGCCTAAGGGGACATACACACCCTCTATGGTGACTATCTGGGACTCACCTCATGAAACACCCCACAGCACTGAATGGGTTTTATTTATTACTAGCTGTACCCGCCACGCGTTGCTGTGACCAACCTTCCCTCCCTCTTTCTCTCCTTCCTTATTTCTCTCCTTCCTTCCCTCTCTTTCCTTCCTTCCTTCTTTCCTTACCTTTTCTTTTCTCTCCTCCTTTTCTTTTAGTTCCTCCTCCTTTTCTTTCCCTTCCTTCCCTCCTCCCTCTTTCTCTCTTTCATTCCTTCTCTCTTTCCTTCCCTCCTTCTTCCCTCTTTCTCTCCCTCCTTCCTCCTTTTCTTTCTTTCCTTCTTTCTCTCCTTCCCTCTTTCTTTCCCTCATTCTCTCCCTCCTCTCCCACCTTCTCTCCTTCCTTCCTTCTCTATCCTCCTTTCTTTCCTTCTCTCCTTCCCTCATTCTTTTCCTCTTTCTCTCCCTCCCTCCCTCCTTTCCTTCTCTTTCTTCCTTTCCTTCTTTCTCTCCTTCCCTCCTTCTCTACCTTTCTTTCTTTCCTTCTTTTTCTCCTTCCCTCCTTCTTTCCCTCTTTCTCTCCCTCCTCTCCCACCTTCTCTTCCTTCCTTCTCTACCCTCCTTTCTTTCCTTCTCTCCTTCCCTCCTTCTTTCCCTCTTTCTCTCCCCCTTCCTTCCTTCCTTCCTTCTTCCTTCCTTCTCTCCCTCTTTCTTTCCTTCCTTCCTTCCCTCCTTCCCCTCCCTCCCTCTTTCTTTCGTTTCTTCTCTCCTTCCTTCCCTTTCACTTTTTTATTCCCTTCTCTCCTTCCTTCCTTCTCTACCTTTCTTTCCTTCTCTCCTTCTTTCCCTCTTTCTCTCCCTCCTTTTCTTCCTTTCTTTCTTTCCTTCTTTCTCTCCTTCCCTCCTCTTTCCCTCCTTCCCTCCTTCTCTACCTTTCTTTCTTTCCTTCTTTTTCTCCTTCCCTCCTTCTTTCCCTCTTTCTCTCCCTCCTCTCCCACCTTCTCTTCCTTCCTTCTCTACCCTCCTTTCTTTCCTTCTCTCCTTCTTTCCCTCTTTCTCACCCTCCTTTCCTTCTCTTTCCTTCTTTCTCTCCTTCCCTCCTTCTTTCCCTCCTCTCCCACCTTCTCTCCTTCCTTCCTTCCTTCCTTCTCTACCCTTCTTTCTTTCCTTCCTTCTCTCCTTCTCTCCTTCCTTCCCCCTTTCTGTGTATGTGTGTGTGTATATGCATATATGTGTATATATATGTGGTTTTGCGCATGTGTTGTAATTTGGGGGGGGGTGGCTTTTTAAGTCCCTTCTGCTATGTTTTTCAGTGTTTTATGAGTGAAGCTCACTCATTGGCCTGATAGGTGTCTTGTGTCCAAATCCGGTGTCGATTCGTCCAGTGGTTTTTTTAGTTATGTTAATCCCACAAATGAACATTACATTTTTATTTATATAGACTAGCCGTCACCTGCCACACATTGCTGTGGCCCAGTCTGGTGATCTGGAAAATAAAGTAATTAGAAAGTATTGGTTTCTAATATAGATAATGCTTGTGGGTAAACAGTATTTCTTGCTGTTTCTCTGTCACTGTTGATGTGGAGATTGTCTGGTTTGCCTGCTCTGAAACATGCAACATATAATTGTCCTTCTTTAGGGGTTCCTTTCAAATCTATGATACTGCTTACCCACAAGCATAAAGAAATTACATATATTAGAAACCAACACTTTCTCATTACTTTATCTTCCAGATCACCAGACTGGGCCACAGCAACGCATGGCAGGGGACAGCTAGTAAATAAATAATAAATAAACCCATTCAGTGCTGTGGGGTGTTTCATGGGTTCTTCCTGCCCTGAGTGTCTAAACACAAGCAAGAGCCTAGAGGTCCTTCCTGTAGTGAATACGGGGTGGGGGGTGGGGGGGTGTCACTTCATGCCCTGGAGAGAAACACCCCACAGCAATTAATGGGGTTTTGCCACTCTGAGTGTCAAGTACAAGCAGGAGCCAACGGGTCCTCCCTGTGAGTGACACACCCTCACTTGGGGTCACCTCATGAAACACCGCACAGCAATGAATGAGGTTTTGCCACTCCGTGAGTGTCAAGCACAAGCAGGAGCCCTGTTTTCCTGTCAAGCACAGGTTCTTCATGTGGTGAAGAACTGGGGGGTCACCTCATGGCCTGAGGAGAATCACTCCATAACAATGAATGGGGTTTTGCTAACCTGAGTGTCAAGAACAGGAAGAAGCTTAAGGGACACACCCTCACCCATGAATACCTTGGGGTCACCTCATGAAATACCCTACAACAATGAATGGGGTTTTGGCACCCTGAGTTTCAAGCATAAGCAGGAGCCTACAGGTCCTTCCTATGGTGAACGGTTGAGAGTCACCCCATGCCCTGAAGAAAGACACCCCACAGCAATGAATGGGGTTTTGCCATCCTGCATGTAAGGAGCCCAGGGAACCCCTCAGTGGTGAATAACTGGAGGGTAACTTCATGAAACACCCCACAGCAATGAATGGGGTTTTGCCACTCTGAGTGTCAAGAACACACAGATCCCATGGGTCCTTCCTGTGGTGACGAATTGGGGTTCACTTCATGCCCTGGGGAGAACCACTTCATAGCAATGAATGGGGGGTTGCAATCTGAGAGTCAAGTACAGGAAGAAGCTTAAGAGACACCACCCCTCCACACTCTGAATAACTTGGGGTCACCTCATGAAACACCCCATAGCAATTAATGGGGTTTTGCCACCCTGAGTGTCAAGCACAAGCAAGAGCCTACGGGTCCTTCCTGTGGTGAATAGCGGGGCGGGGGGGGGGTCACTTCATGTCCTGGAGAAAGACACCCCATAGCAATGAATGGGGTTTTGCCATCCTGTGTATAAGGAGCCCAGGGACCCCCTCTGTGGTTAATAACAGAGGGCCCTTCCAGACAGGTCCTAAATTATGTGAGTTCACACTGCCAGATAATCTGGAATAAACAGAAAAACCTGGGATCAGATCCTGGGATATAGGGCCTGCTTGGACGGGCCCATAGGGACACCTCATGAAATGCCCCACAGCAATGAATGGGTGGATTTATCCTATAACAAGCACAGAAAGAAGCCAAGGAGACCCCCCTGTGAGCAATATCCTGGAGAGAAAGAACCACCTCACGGCAATGGGTGGGTTTAGAAGATCCAACCAGTCCATACATCAGGAAATAAAGCCCGGCTGCTCATTGGTTGGAAGGATATTAGAGACGAAGTTTAAGTGCTTTGGCCACATCATGAGGAGACAGGAAAGCTTAGAGAAGACCATGATGCTGGGGAAAATAGAAGGCAAAAGGAAGAGGGGCCGACCAAGGGCAAGATGGATGGATGGCATCCTTGAAGTGACTGGCTTGACTCTGAAGGAGCTGGGGGTGGTGACAGCCGACAAGGAGCTCTGGAGTGGGCTGGTCCATGAGGTCACAAAGAGTCGGAAATGACTGAATGAATGAACAACAACAGAGTGTAAGGAGCCTAGGGGACTCTCCTCTGTTGAATAACCCCGATGTCCTGTAGAGATAGACCCCACAATAATGAATGGGGGTGCCAGGCACATGCAAAAGCCTAGAGGCCCCCACCTGTCGTGAGTATAGACGGGGGCAGCTCGTCCATTACGCAAAGTAAGCGGTTGTGATACTTTTTTTTTGCTAGGGGCGCAGAGGCACCTCTGTAAATGCCCCTCAGCCGCCACTTGAGGAGCGCCCCCTCGGCTCACAACAGCCCTAGCAGTCCGGGGGGAGCCTCGGCTCCCTTGCCTCACTGCTGGGCAATCCTCTTCCCAAAGGGGCCGGGCCCTTGAGCCTCGCCTAGCCCCTCTCGTTCCTGCTCCATATCAATGATTGGGGGGGGGGGGGGGGGGGGGGGGGGGGGAGGCGTGTGCCAAAATACTGTTTGCTTACCGTTGAAAATTACCTAGGGCCGCCTCTGAGTATAAACCTTATAGGAGGATGAGTTATTTATTGGATTTTATGTCCACCAGAATGAGATGCTTTAATCTGGAAGATAGGGCACACAAGTGCCTGGGTAAAAGTATAAGACTCCCTGTAGAATCAATGCAGTTTGACACTGCCTTGACTGCTATGACTCAATTATATGGAATCCTGGGAATTATGGTTTGATGAGGCATCAGCATTCTTTGGTGGAGAACTTGTAAAACTACAGCTCACAAGATTTCATAGTATTGAGCCACAGCAGTCAAAGAGGTGTCAAACTGCATTCATTCTTCAGTGGGATTACACTCCTAACAGGTTTTTTTCCCCCTGCTGCAAACCTAATGTATGAAGCTGCCTTTTGCGACAAAATGCTATGTGGCTTGACTCCATGGCAAAAAATAATTGGGTTTAGATTATGAATTAAGGCAGTGTGGTGTAAGATTATAATCCCTGGTTGATCATGGAAATGCACTAAGTTACTTTGGGTGAGTCACACTCTCAGCCCCACAAAATTGGTGATAAATTCACCTGAGGGTTGCCACAAATTGGCAATAACCACAAATGAGAATCTTGTGGGCTTCCCAATGTTTCTGGCTACTATTCCCATTGTCTCTAACCAGCACCTATCCTTCTGGTAGGTATAGTTCAACAACATGTCACAAGTCATAAATTCCTCTTCCTAACTGAAACAAACAAGTATCTATAAAGAAGTGGCAGAAGCTGACCAGGGATTCAGGGATATTTTTTCCAGTTTACCTGGTAACATTTAAATGAGGAGACATGCTTTTCAATTAGGCTTTACTTCTGCTCTTGTCAAGATGCTGCATACAATTTAAAATTCCATCTGT